CCCCAAAACCCCAAAACCCCAAAACCCCAAAACCCCTTCTGGTCAAATCTAACTCTTGATTAAGAAAAAAGATAACAATATCAGAATTATGATAGATACTAAAAGTCTTGCTAATTAATTCTAATGACTATCTCCATTAAAAATCCATAATATTAAAAGATACAAAGATAAAGATATCAGCAGAATGAGAAAGCTTAAGCAAGAAACAAATCTCGGGACAACTCTACCTGAAGATGATGGCATCAGTGTGGTCAAAATTGGTCATAACCAGTATATGCATATTCTAGATAAGAATTCAAATACTACAAGGTAATTACATACTTCGCATTCTCCAAATTAATTCCTTTCATTTAGAATTGAGATTGGGCCTACTAGTTTTATAAAGCAATAAAACGAGTAGATCGTCAGATCATCTTAAGAACTAATCAAGATCCCTCCTAACAACTATTGTATCATTAAAAACCCAGTAGTAAAAGAGAACGGGAAGCTCTTAACTTCAGAATACGGTGAAGTGAAGGTGCGTTTCGAGGATCTCGAAATCAGAACATCAGCTGATTATCCTGAACCTTTTCCACTATATCCCTATGAGGAAATCCATTAAAATGTCCAACCCTTTACCTTCCTAAGAGATAACGAGGCACTTCATCTCTACGCTGAAAGACCATTCTTGGATACTAGATTTGAAAAGGAATTAGAAAGATTCATTGGTGATGAATACTTGTTTAAAGGCCCAGGAACTTACATTCCAAGAATTGAAGAGAAAATCGTGAAGAAATAAACTGCAACAGTAATGCCACAAAACTTTGGAGTCCTTTTGCAAGCTAGCCGAAAGGTTCTTGATGCAAATGGAGTAGTTAGACTTCCTGGAGAATCTGTAAGTGATTCCTTAAATATTTAAAAGATGGGGAAATCTCACTTTATTCATATAGTGGTTGTATGTAAAGACTGGATACTTTATTGAGGACCCAGACATTACTATTAATGACTACAGGCCTGCAGAGGTGCTAGATGAGTTCACCGCTCTACATCTTAGAGCTCTTATAGACTTCACAGATATCTATGGCAACAAGAGAAGAGCAGGTTCAGAATGGTTGATTGATAGATCTATCTCAGACACTCATATTGTGGATGCAAATGAATCTGTCGTTGATAGACCTAAAGTCATTATTCTTGCTAATAATCAATACTGTATCATTAGAAATCCCTGCGACAAGGATGGCAATCCTCAGTTCGGTAAGCAAGAACTCAGAAGAGGAGAGACTAGATTCTTTGTTCAACCTGGTGAGGAACTCTTTGACGGAATCAAAAATATCTTAGTAGTCAATGAAGATGAGGCTTTACTTTTAAGAGCTAACAAAAATTATAAGGATCCAAAGACTGGAACTTCTTACAGTGCAGGCTAAACATGGATGCTCAAGGGGCCAATTGATTACATTCCAGAAATTGAAATTCAAGTTGTAGAAAAGAGAAAAGCATATCCTTTAGCTGAAAATGAAGGTATCTATGTCAGAGATGTAAGGACCAAGGAAGGAGAAACTCTTGAAGTTAGACTTGTCAAAGGGCCATAAACTTACTTATTGAAAGAAACTGAGCAACTTTGGGAAAAGCTGCTTCAACCTGATACTGAGAGACTAATTGGCTTGAACTCATCAGGAATAGACTACATTCCTACAACTGTTGACGATAAGGGCAATGTTGAATATGTTTATAAGGAACCACCAGTCAGAAAAAATAAATACTAAGCTGTCTGCTATAAGGCTCCACATAACTCAGCTGTGTAACTTTACGACTACAAGAACAAAAGGTCCAGAATTGTGTTCGGTCCAGAACTCATAATGCTTGAGCCATATGAAGAGCTAACTCTTATCACTCTATCAGGAGGACAGCCAAAGAAAGAGGCTTAAATTAAGACTCTCGCACTACTTCTTGGCCCAGACTTTATGACCGATATTATTCAAGTTGAGACCAGCGATCACGCCAAACTCTACCTTAGATTATCATATAGATGGACATTCAAGATCGACAGAGAAAATGAATAAGAATGCAGAGATTTATTCTCAGTAAGAGACTTTGTTGGAGACGCTTGCAAGAGAATCTCTTCTAGAATTAGAGGAGCAGTCAGCGCTGTTTCCTTCGATAACTTCCACAAAAACTCAACTGGAGTTATCTAAAATGCTATTCACAAGAGAGACGAAAACAACAACTTCTTGCCTTTCCACATTCAGGCAAATAATCTTTACATTACTCAAGTAGATATCTAATCCATTGACCCAGTGGAAGAAGAAACCAGAAAATCACTCCAGAAATCAGTAAACATGGCCTTCGAGATCCAAACTAGATCTCAAGAAGCAGCTGCCTAACATCAGGCTTTGAGACTTCAATAAGAAGCTGATGGTATGCTTCAAAGACTTGAAATCTAGTCAGAGATCTAAAACGAAAAAGTGAATAAGAATTTCCTCGAACTAAAAGCAGAGAATAGCAGTGTTCAATCCACAGGTCTTGCAATTGCTAACGCTAAAGCCAGATCAGAGGCAGATCAAATCAAAGCTCAAACTGAAGTTGATCAAGCTTAGTTCTAAGTTGACTCATAACATATTAGAGAGCAGGCCGAACTTGAAATCGTTAAAATGAGAAACGATGATGAAATCAAGGTGCTTGAGGATATGCTTGAGTTAGAAATTAGTAGCAAGAAGAAGCTTTCTGAAATCGAAATAAACCAGTTCAAGAAAACTGTCGAGGCTATCGGACCTGAAACAATGGTTCAAATGGCAAGAGCTGGACCAGAGACTCAGGCTAAATTACTTAAGGGACTTGGTCTTCAAGGTTATATGATTGTTGATGGAAAGCATTCACTTAATCTTATGGGAGCTGCTCATGGAATGCTAGGTAGCAGTTAATGAAATTACAAGGAAAATATGAAAAATATTTAACTTATTTCATTATGACATTAAAACGCTAAAATGCATTTATTGATAAGATGGGGTTTTGGGGTTTTGGGGTTTTGGGGTTTTGGGG